ATCAAGAACACAAGGATGAGGCTGGGGAGATAGCCTGGCGGTCTAAGCGCCTGCCTGGCAAGGACCTGGGTTTGATTCCCAGTACCTCATGCTTTGCTGGCCCTGAAACTGAATGTGGTGGTGCACACCTGTAATCCCAGGGCTGGGGAGACTGAGACAGGAGAATCACTATGAGTCCAAGCTGCCTAATGATATACTATACCAAATAAATAAATATATTTTAAGAAAGAACACAAGGATGACTGCTTTTCTCTTTCTTATTAACTATTAGGCTAGAAATTCTAACTAGGATGATTAAGCAAGGAAAAGAAAGAAGTGGCACACAAATTAGAAAGGAGACAATAAAACTCCATTTTCAGACAATATGATTTTGTGTAATGTAAAATCCTAAGGAATCCCCATGAAAGATGATTACACTAATAAACAAATTTAGTCAGGTTGTAGAGTATAAGATCAGCATACAAAAATCAAATTTATTTCTGTAACCTAGCAATGAACAATCTGAATATGAAATTGAAGAAATAGTACAGTACCTAAAATAACATGATGCCCAGGAATAAACTTAGCAAAGAAAATACAGGACTTCTACACTGAAAACAATTTTAAAGAGAAATTAAAGAAGATATTAAAAAGTGGAAAGACATCTCATGTCAATTCATCAAAAACTCTATATTATGAAGATAAAAATATTTCCCAAGTTAACAGGTAGATTTAATGTTGTTCATCAAAATTCCAGCTGCCCCTTCCCTTCCCCCCTTAAATTGACAGGAGATAGCAAAATTCACTCCTAAATGCATACTGGTTGCCCTTCCCTTCATTGCTTGCCCCCAATCATTTGACAAGTTGATCCTAAAATTCATGTGCAAACTCAAGGAACTCAGAATAGCCAACACAGTCTTCAACAATATAGTTGAAAGACTCATATTTCCTAATTTTAAACTTCACTACAGAAACACAACATAATGTGGAACCAGCGAAAGAACTCACACATAAACAGATGGCATAGTATTGAAAATCTACTTATAAAATCTTACATTGTGATAAGTTTTTTTGTAAAGGGTGCTAAGACAATATGACAGAATAAAGAATAGCTTTTTCAACAAGTACTGATGGGAAAATCGAATACCAACATGCAAATGAATGAAATTAGATGCCTACTTCAAACGTATTTTTAAAAATTGCCTCAAAATAGCTAAACGATATAATTTTTAGAAGAAAAACAGGCACAAATATTTGTTACCTTGGCATAGGCAATGATTCTTTAGATACACCACCAAAACGGTAAGTGACAAAAAAAGAAGTAGATAGGTTGGACTTCATCAAAATTAAAAACTCATGCATTGCAAATGACAGCATCAAAAAACTGAAAACACAACCTGTAGAGTGGGATAAAAAAAGTTTAAATTACATATTCGATAAGGAACTAGTCATGAGAATAGAAACAGGATAAGCGACTCAATTCAAGATGGGCAAAGGCTTTGAAAAATTTTTTCTCCACAGAAACAGATACTGAATGATCCACAAGCATTCTCTTTAGGCACTGAAAAGATTATCATCATTCATCTTCCCAGAAATGCAAAGCAAAATCACAGTGAAATATCATTTCACACCATCTAGGGTAGTATGGCGATGAACAGAGATGAATAACAACAAGTTTTGGTGAGGCTGTGGAAGAGTTGGAACTGTGACTCACTGCTGGTGGGAATATAGTGCAGAGCTTTGCAAGAACAGTTCTTCAAAATGTTACACATAGAATTACTTTATGGGGCAGGCCAGATAGCCCAGTGGACTAAAGCATCAGCTTGCCGTGCTGGTCCCACCCCTGGGGCACACTGAGACAGCGACGGAGACCGGGCCTGTAATCCCAGCACTTGGGCGGGTGAAAACAGGTGAATCATTATGAGTCTGATCTGTGTAGTGAGACCCTGTAACCCTTAGATTCTGTCCTAAATACATTAAAAAATAGAATTACTGTATGGTCTTACATTTCCATTCATAGATATACCACCATGTAAAATGAAAATACATATCCATGCCAAAACTTGTATGTAAACATTTATAATAATATTATTAACAATAGTCTAAAAGAAAAATAACCTAAATATCTGCCAACTGATGAATAGGTGAATAAAATATAGTAACAAAATACTATCTGGCACTAAAAAAGTGATATATTAATACAACCCTGAAAAACAACATATTGATACATGGATGGACCCTGAAAACATAATGCAAAGGGCAAGAAATCAGCCACAATGGACAACATATTTTATGATTCTATTTGTGCATAATGCCCAAAGATTGCAAATCTATAGATTCAGATGGTAGAGTAATGGTTTCCTAGGACTAAAGGTGGGTGCAGCTGTGTCTGCTAAATGGCCACAGGATTTCTTTTTGTACTCAGGAAAGATGTTCTAAAATTATATTGTGGTGTTGGTGATTGTGAGTATACTAAAAAACATGGAACTCTATCTTTTCAATGGGTAAGCTGCATGTATGCTGGGTGATAAATATATCTCAATAAATCTCTAAAGAATAGCAGACAACAAAATAGAGTGTTGAGCACTGGCCCAGGAAAGGGTGGTGTGTCAGCATGTCACTTAGGAACCCAACTGAGCTAAGATGCGGAGGATGGAGCGTCTCGGGGCTAACAGTCAGACACAGTGGTCAATAAAGGAGAAGACCTGAAGCTGGGAAAAACACAGACAACAGAAAGACACAATACATACAGGTGCGGTGGGCACAGAGGCAAGAATAAGGTGTGGGTTGGTGGGTGGGCAGGGGCCAGAGAGTGCAGGCTAGTGGTGTGCATTTTAATGTTTAGAGATTTTTCCTGTTCAGCGGTTGGATGTTACTGAAGGGCTTTAACCCAGGGAAAGCAGTGGATGCACCTAAGTTTTAAAAACTCCTTTTGCAGGGAATTGATTTGAGGGATACGAATAGATGTAAAAAATTAGATTGGAAACCATATGAAAGTCAGGAAGAAAGATGATGCCCTGCAAAATCTAAATGAAAGGAGTTTAAAGGGAGAGTGGGAAGGAGGACATGAAGACAATGAGCTCTTCTAGGCAGTGGGGCTGTGGTGGAGGACACAGCAGCAGCTGCAGCTGGAGGGGCGTATGGGCTAGAAGGAATCAAAGATAAGACGGGCTTGAATGGAAATTGGAAAACTCCAGAGAGAGATCGGCTTAGTATTCAGGAGACAGAGGAGGGAATTCATTCAGTCAAGCTCTTGCAAAGGTGGATGGTAATGAGATACAGAACCCCTTCAGAGGGACATAGCAGGAGGAAGGAAGGAAGGAAGGAGATGCTGCCGACGAAGGTAGATTTGTAGGCTAGGAGGAAGAAATTCTTCATCCTCCTTCCTCCAGGGCTGCAAACCGGCTTATGGGACAAGAGTGGCTAGATAATGCTGTAATGATGTGATGTCAGAGGCCATGATTAATTTATTTGAAGACAATGAGCTCTTCTAGGGGGGCGTTCTTAGAGTTCACGATAGACATTAATGGAAGAAACTGAAATACACATAGCCACACATTTTCTTCTTCATTGTTGGATTAGCTTCAAAACAGAAAGAGTGGAAAAATTACTTAAGAGAGAATTGGGACCCTAAATGGAGAAAAGATAGTGAGGGAGAAGTTAGTTACTTTAAAAGTTCAAGTATTTAGGCCAGTGAGCCAAATTAGCTTAAAGTTACAATTGAAGAATCATTTTTGATACTAAAAATTATGCAGATTGAAATGGGCATGATAAAACTGGAAATGATCTACTTTTTTTTTTAAAGAGTGAAGTAGAATTTAAGAAAATCTATTCAAATCAAATTAACTACGATCTTGGCAAGTTGTGTATTTGTGATCATTGGGATCAGCAGTGTTCATGAGGAAATATTTAAGCTAAAATGTCATTTCTTATGGAGACAGGGTCCCTCTTGTGATTTTGAGGTATGTGATTGGTAGTTTAAATAAACACTTTACAAAATAACAGAGTTTCAGAAGGCCTTAGTCACAGCTTTTCTGTATAAAGAACTATCTTTTAAAGGGACATTGGTACAAAGAAAATTGACAACAGGGGTCCCAGATGAGAATCAACATAGTTAATGGATGAGACAACCATAAAGAATGCCTATACCCAGAGATGACCATTAGTGACCAACATTTAAGCTTCTTGGTCTTGGAGGGTGCTAGAAACTCTACTGGGGCTTCTACCACATCAAGGTGGGACATGGACTACGTAGATGTAAGGCAGTGATGGTGAGCCTTTTAGGGACGAACACACAAACTGCAACCCAAACCCACTTATTCCTTGCAAAGCACCAATGCTGCAATTAAACACAAACACCGATGTTTCACTTTAGACAAATCAACTCACACGTGAGCATCTTTGGTCTGACAAGAGAAACAGCATGTGCACCATAAGTTTGCTGCATCTGTTCCATGGCAATAAATTTAGAGGACATGTGACCTGGGTGTTCCTTTTATGGCTCACTCGTGCTAGGTGGAGAAACACTGCTGCATACAGGTAGCCTTCATCAGCCCAAAGCTGCACAGTGAGGCAATGGCGGGGCAGGGCCTGAGTCGAGCCCTGCTCTCCACAAGCGTGCCTTACTTTGTGTCCGTCTACATCATTCTATTCCTGCCACTTCTGTTGCTTTGCCTGTGATTAGTGGTTGCTTTTCCTTTTTGACATTTCACTTGGTTCGTGACTTTTTTTATTACCTTTTCTTTTGGGTGTGCAGGGAGTACTGGGAATTGAACTCATGACCTTGCATTTTCCAGGTAGGCGCTGGGTCCCTAAGCTATATCTCTGGCCCCTGTTCATGACGTTTATGCCACACTTCTGCTTGAGAGCCCCCTGGCCCACATGACCTAGATGAAAGCCATAGCACTGGCCTTGAATCCCAGGGCTCCTAAGTAGCTGAGTCTTGAGGTTTCTGCAGCCCTTGAGGTTTCCCAGGGAACTTGAGGCCTAGCTCCTGGAGGAAAGTGGAAATGCTCACAGGAAGAAGACAGAGTTCCAAACTGTATCTTACCTTGTCCGTGGGGTCTGCTACATTCCTTTCCTCAGTTGTACATGGCCAGGTTCATCCACTGAGAAATAAACACAGTCAGTGCTTTCAGCTTGTTTACTTCATATGTGGATGGGCAAGTGCTACCCTCCTCCCTTGAAAGATCTCAGTTCAGTCTCATCAGCCCTTTTCAGGTCATTCTAACCCAAGTAGGAGGTCTAAGCCCCCTGTTACAACCTATCTTCTGCTATTCCCTCAAAAGCTAGGCAGTGAGAAGTATATCTAAGGTTGACCAGCTAGCCCATTGGGAGGCTCTAAAATTCAGTGGGAGCAAGTTTAATGTACAGTGAGCTCAGCGGGCTGTTCTTCAGTTCCCTCTTGGATTTATGACTCTCACATAATCCTCTGCTTTATTAAGCTATTGGAAAAAAATAAAATCTGTCTGCCAAGATCCTAAAGTAGCCTGGCAGCCAGCAATATATAAAGGCAGTAATTGGAGGAAGTGGGGGCCAGCAACCTGGCTGGCCTTTGTGGACTGTTCAATATCCTCAGGGAGAAAAACACCTCCTGGAAGATCAGGAAAGGCAGCCCTGGGGCTGTGCCTGGCCTCAGGAGGGGAAGGGTTCTTACCTCCATTTCTGTCAGGTAGAGTCCTTTTCCGTCCTTGGAGAGATTATGGAATGTCTCTAGGATGGAGAAAGAAAGGTTTCCACTGACTGAGGAGAAGGGGATCCAGGCAGGTCAGGACCAGTGAGAGAACGGAAGCAGCTGTGGAGGCTCTGGGGATGACTGAGGTCCATACCCTGAGTCCATCTGCCATCTTCCTTTTTCTGGTAAGCTCCATATGGTGGGTCACCTCTGGGCTCAAGTCCTCAAAACAGCTCTCTGTGACCCTTCTGGGCCCTTCCGTGTCAGAGCCCTTGCCCTCTGCTTCCATCCACACTGGGCCAGGAAATGTGTGGGCTGGTCTCTTTCAAAGGCACAGTTTGGGGACCTGCCTAGTGCTCTTGAGAACACCCTGGGGGCAGGCTTGTGCTTCAGGCTGGCTTTGACCTTCCCAGGCTCTGATTTTTCAGTTTTTAGTACCCTCACTCCACTTAGAACTGGGGGGAGGGCTGGCCAAATAGCTCAGCAAATTAAAGCACCTGGAAGCAGGCACAGGGGCCAGGTTTCGATCCCCAGGCCTGCTGTGACGGCCCCAACCCCAGGCGTGCTGAGACGGCAATTGAGATTGGGTGTGGTGGTGTGTGCCTGTAATCCCAGCTCTTGGGACACTGTAAATAGGTGGATCACTATAAGTCTGATCTAGTAGTGAGACCCTGAATACCCTGTAGACCCTTCCCTAAAGTACCAAAACAAAACAAAACAAAACCTGGGCTGACTGCAGAGGGACTGGCAGGGCTGGGGCCAGGATTCAGAGGTGTTTCTGCACCCCGCCCCCATCTCACATGCATAGGCACATTTGGGACCACACTGTGGCCTGAGATTTCACATAAGATTTCATTTAAAGCAAAGGCTTCTGCAGAGACTGCATCCTCTCCTACAAGACTAACAAGCCAGTTTTAGTTATATACACAACCTAGAGAGGGACAGGGAGATTTAAATTAACCTTGTCCCTAAGAGAAGAGGTAGATGAGCGGAAGAGGAAGCAAGAGACGTGGGGTGGGGGACGCTGGGTGTGCGTGGTGCGGAAGGGAGGGCAGGGATGCTGGTATTTTAGTGACCACACTATTAGTTCACAGCCTCAGTTGGTACTATGCTCCTATAGCACGGATGCCTCCCTCAGGCAGGACACCAGCCCATGCTCTCCTGAGGCCTGGCCTGGTTTGGGGAAGCAGAGTCTCCCCCCAGGGACACTTACTTGCCATGGCTTCCAGCCGCATCAGGAAGCAGACCAGGCTGGGGAAGCTGACCCGACCAGTGCTGTCACTGTACCGAAGGGTCATGAGATCCAGCAGCTCAGTGTTGATGGAGATGCCTGTAAGAAAGTCTGGCCGCAGGGGGAGCTGGTAAACAGGGTGCAGGTGGGGATGGAGAAGGTGGATGCCTGAGTCTCTGAAGACTTGGGACATTTGTTCAGAGTGCCCAGTGGCCTCCTATCAATGTTCCTGTGCAGCCAGATTTGGTGGCCATTCAGGACCCCTTTGATCTTCCCATCTTCTCTGGCTAGGCTTAGTGGCACAGTTCAGGAGCTTGGCCAGAGACCCGCTCAAGAGCTAAGACAGAGTGCTCTTCGGGAGGTCCACAAGGCTTCCCACTGGATAATCCTGCATACCCCTGAGCCTGGCAGGACTTGGGGATGCATCTAGCCCTGGGTCTGCTGGATCTCTCTCTCTCTCTCTCTCTCTCTCTCTCTCTCTCTCTCTCTCTCTCTCTCTCTGTGATTTTATAAAATTGCATTCCTCCTGGACCCAGGGTTCTTGGGGGCCTTCTTATGGAGGCTGCTAGGGTGGGCAGGTGTGGTTTCCTTGGAAGAGTGAGCTTCAGTTCTATGTTGGTCTGCCAGGGAGAAGGCTGGCTTTCAAAGGGGGGAGCAGCATGTGGCAGGGGCCTCAGCTGGGCAGAGGTCACCTGCCCTCTTTGGCCTTGTCCCTTCTCAAGCTAGTTGTAAGTTCCAAGGAGGCACCGGCCCCAGATGGACAGTGCAGACTGACCTACAGTTGGGCCTGCAAACTCTGGTGAGCAGCACAACCTTGTAAGCCGAGCCTCTATGAAGAGATGAGCCCAGATGCCTGCGGGCCCCTACAGCCAGGAACACTTTGGATTCCAATCTCAGAGTGCCTTCAGGGAAGCTGTACCATCCCTGCCCGCACTTCCCCAATGGCTCATTCCCTTATGGTGAGGCTGCCTGCCTGGATCCTGCAGACTTTTCAGTTGAATTTGAACTATTCTTCATTTTTCTCTTTTTATTATTCTAAACACTTTAGTGAGGGCTCCCTTAACGATTTCTTCTTTAACTGGTCTTCAGTGGCTCTCAGCTGTGTCCCAGACAGGGGCAGCAGCACCACCTGGGCACTCATTGGAACAGAAAAGTTCTCCAGCCCCAGGTGGACCTCCTGAGAGAAACAAAGTGAGGCTCAGCCTTCTGCGCTTCCACAAGCCCTGAGTGGGGGACTCTGGCACCCCAGGTTTAAGCTCTACAGCCCCATGTTCTGAAGGACTAAAAGGAGGATCTGTGCTCCAGTGGAGTGCAGAGCTTTGTGTTTCTGTCCCTGTCCACACCAGGAGCCACAAAAGTGAGAATTACAGAGCTAACCTGGGTGAGCACGACTTTACAGTTTGAGAAAAGTGGCCATTTCATTAACCTTTGTGTGATTCATTTTCCCCAGTGGTACAAGGGAGGCCACGATTCCTGCCCTTCTCAGGTCTCAGGGTAGTGAAGATGATCACACAACTTGAGATCTCGGAGAGCTACACAGGCCGGGTATCCCGAAGGTATCGTTATTGTTAGCCCACAGAATGCACTTTTGTCTACAAGGCATGTGCCATTTGATTTCACTTAGCCCCACTTTCTGCATGGAGAGAGAGATGAGAAACCATCAGCCTGTCTGAGAGTATTTAACTCTGATGGCCCCGATACTGACCTCAAGCTTCTGGAAGCTGAGCGCTATTCCTAGTAAGGTATTAATCGCTGGGAAAATTGACCAGCACAGGAGAGCTCCTTTGGGGCACAATGCATGATGTCTGAGTCTGGAGCCCTAGAGACCCACCAAGGCCGTGGCAGAGCAGAGGGGATGCCGGAGCTGGAGCTGCTCTCTCGCCTGACTGCCCAGCCTTCCGCTGCCAGTGTCCTACAGCATGCTGCAGTGAGGGCACCCTCTCCCCACACACGGGCCCCACGACAGCTGGCTCCAAGGGCCCCTGCCTTACCTGTATCTTTTACAGCCTTGCCCAAGTCTGAGCTCAGGAGGACTCCAGTGCTTTTCTGGATGTTCTGGAAAACGTGCTGGCATAGGAAAAAGGGGGGGGGGGGACAACAAAAAACCAGAAGCCATCGTGAAGACCTGCGGGATGTGGATGGGAAAGACTCGGAAATCCCCTTTCCATGCCTGGAGCTCGCCTCACTAAAGCCTTGGTGCACCTAGCTCAGAGGAAGGCCTTCAGGAGGAGAGAGGACTAGTGTAGGCAGGAGTGGCCACTGCTGGGCTTGTGGGTTCTTCTCTTCCAACCTGCTTTCCTTTCCTCTTCCCACCTGGGATGGATCCCACACCTAGCACCGCTTGTTTGCACAGCAGCACCGGGCTCTCTGAACAGTCTGCAAAGGATCGTGGTGAAGCGCAAAGACCGGATGAGCAAGTGTCCGGGGAAGAAGTCCTGGCCCAACTATTGGCTAGCTGGGTAACCAATCTTGGGTGTTACTGTACCTCTTCTGGCAAATATTTATTAGGTGATTAGAGATGGATGCTGAACAAGAGGAGTGCACGCCGTGTGGAAAGTATTGCGCGCAGGTTGGACCTAGATCCGGGTCCTTATTCTGCGCTCAGTCGCAGGAAGTAGCAATTCATACATCACTTCCTCCAGACTCCTGCTCTTCGCTGTGATGCCTTCCAGATGAGGAAGCTGAAGCTCAGGCAGGAGATCTGGTCACGGACTCGGTGTGCAGCTGCTGCGAGGCCGCTTCTGGCCTTTGCATAGCTGCCCCCTGGGAATTTTCCAAATCAAACTCTCCCAGTGCAGCTGAGGCTGACTGGAAGCCTGTGCGCACCCCCGGCTTTAGAGCCCTTCCCTGGCCTTCCGTGGCTTTTGGAGAAGTCAGGTCAGACTTCAAGCGTTCTCCACTGGGTGTTCTCTTATGCAGTGGGTAACTGATTGGCTTGGTCATTTAGTCAGAAGTTTTTAATGCTGCTAGATTATACACAGTGTGGAGGGCACCGGGGAAAATGGATAGGAGGAGGCCTGCGCCGAGGACACTGCGACTCACAGGGGGAAGGAATGAGCTGGCAATTTCAGTGCCCTGCAAGAAACCAAGTGACCAGGGTCCCTGGCAGAGCCACGCAGGAGCTCTTTACTGAGCCTTTAAATATTGCATAGATATTTACTGACATGGTTGGACTTCCAATACATTGGTGCTTTCTTATTTTCAAAAAAAGTGTGTTATACTTTTATTCAGTGTATGTGAACATACACAGGAAAGAGTATGAGCGATATTTGCTGTGGTAGGTGTTAGTTTTCTTTGGGTAAGATAATGTTTTCTTTTTCAACTTAGTTTTGTTCACCTGTATTTTCTCCTATGAGCAGGCATTGCTTTTATAGCAAGGAAAAGTTATTTTTAAGTACAAAGCAATGAGACCGCTGAGTGTGGCTCATCCTGACAGCTGTAGGGCCACGTGTTAGGAGCCAGAGGGGCACGGTCACTGAACGGCTCCACGGGGTGTGGTTGGGGCTGGGCTAAGTGTGAGTGTGCAGCGGCAAGGATTAGGGTGTAGGGGAGGGGAAGGAAGGGGGGCCGAAGCTGCAAGGGCCTAGCATTTATAGGGAATAGGAAGGAGTCTTGTAGGAAGGGGTCAGAGAGGGGTGGATGAGGGAAAAAGGGCTTTTCCGTGACTCCAAAGTAGGGGTCCAATCAGAGAGCCTTGTATGCTGCTCTGATGAATTTAGGCTTCATCCTGAGGACAGTGAGGAGACCACAGCCAACTGGATCTGTGGTTCTGCATGTGCTCTGCAGAGGCATTGGGGGAAAATGGGGTGGCCTCAAAGACTGAGTCTGGGGAGCACCCTGTCACCTGACAGCTCTAGCTGTGGTGACTTCGGTCTCTGCTCCAGCCTTCCAGATCTCTGGTCATTTCCTGGTGTGAGCATGCCTCTCCAGACAGACCTGGGTGCAGGGTGAGGCTTCCTCTCATTGTATATCCCTCAATCCTGACACAGAGCTGGACACTGCATACATATTTACTAAATTGGATAAAATAAGGTTAGTCAGAGAGAACGTGCCCCTACCTGGCAGTGGACAAGTCGCCTCCAGAGTCTGGCAAACTCCTCGTGGTCGAGGCGCCCATTCACTTTCAGCTGGATGAGGAGTTAAGAGTTAATTAGTCTGGGGTACCCTGGGTGGCAGCAGCTGGTCTCCCCAGCAAAGCTAGAGCAGCCCTGCCATTAACTACTGAGCAGTTGGTCTCCAAGGCAGTCTGGTGTCACCTACACATGGCCCCATGCCAGCTCACTCCCACAGTTATCTGAAGGTGACCTGATTTAGATTTGTTTTACAGAGGAAAACAGGCAAGGAGGAAGAAGCCAGGGAGAGGGAGGCTGATTACACTTGCGTCTCAAGGACAGGGTAACTCTGACGTGGCATCCACCAAGTTGGGGCACTGGCAAGAAGGATGGGGATGACCACAAGGGTCTTGCAACTCTGGATGTAGTGGTGATGGGTCTACATACCAGTGTGGTGCACACATGGGGGCAAGGGATGTTTCCTATGTATTGATGCCAGTCCTGGCCACCCCACTGAATGGGGACACTGATGACTATGGGAAAGAATTGGTCTCTGAGAACTGGAAGAGGCCACGGGGGACAAGGAGGGAAGGGAGAGAGAGCCTGGTGTCCTTTGTAGGCTCTGTGTGGGTGACCCACCCTGGGCTGTGAGGGCTATTTGGATTCTTCTGTCTGATTGCAAACCTCAGCTAGCAGAGACAGGGCCTGATTTATGATTTCATCAAGGAGCTCTCTTGTTCTACATTGGCCAGCTTTGCATTCCCAATCGAGCCTTGTTAACCGTGTGGAAGTGGGGTGATCTGTCTCCCTCAGAGACAGCAGAGCTGGGGGAGGACCTGCCCGTGTGCTGCAGCCTCGCCTTCCTGGAGGAGATAGTGCAGGCAGGGCAGAAACTGCCCCAGGGGGAATGGAAGTAGGCATGGGAGTCAGGAGGCTGGGGTTTGATTCTTGCTTTTGTCACTTGCAGTCACTTAGCTGCCGTGACCCATTGTCCATGTCCAGAGACATAGCGTGTTGGCAGTGCTGCCTTAGCTGCTGTGTAGACCAGGGGTCTTCTGC